AGGAGCACGCATGCATGCTAAGTAAAGGAGACACCCGTACACAGAAGGCGAGTGCCGGAGTTTGAAACCTGAAAATAATAAATTAAACTGTGCTGATTTAAAAGAAAAAAAAAACACGGGTTTAATATCACTTTCCTGCACTGCAAGGGTTAAGTTCTCCTTTTTTTTCTAGGTTCAAAAATAACAAAGTTGTACTCCCCAGAACCCCCCGAGTTGGCCGGCTGTTACAGCACTCCCTCTTGGCGTCCTTTGCTCCACTGCAGTGATGGTATGCCCCTCCGTGTCCTCACATTCTATACACAGTGTATAGAACATGATGACTCAGGGAGCTCAGACCGCTGCAGTGGAGGGTGATCAAGCCAGAAGGGTCTGGTCATAAAGCAAGCCGGCTCAGATGATCAGGTGAGTATAACTTCTTTTTTTTTTTTAACCAAGACAAAAATGGGCACATAACCCTTGCAGTGTGGGCCCTGCCCCACTGCAAGGGTTAATACAATTTTTACCCAGAGTTCTGCTTCAACAGAGCAAAAAAAACCAAAATGTTGATTCCTTTGAATCTCTGTGTCACACAGGCAGGTTGTGTCTACACACAAAATACATTCCGTTGTCACTGTACACACATGACAATTGTAGCTGTGACCAGTACATTTTGGCTAGCCATATATCCCAAATATTTACTTGCCTTTTCCTGGCTACCACATTGGAATGTGTATGTTTCTACGTCAAATATACTAATGCATTTTGTAATGGTGTACTATTGCTGACAGGAAAACAAGCTTTGTGGCAATATAAAACAAAGCAAAAACAAAATTCCTGACCTTAACCCCTTGGTTACTTCTGCCTTTTCGTTCTCTGTTAAGCAATGTGTACAGTGAAATGTGTGAGGGGTATTTAGTGCAGAGTTCATTATTAGGGCTGTAAGCTCTGTTCATGTGTGAGTCAAAGGCAATGGTGAGGCAAAGTGAGCATTGAGCCGTTTGCCTGGAGTTTACCTGTAAGTAGCAGACATCTATGCACATTTTACTGCTCCTTGTATCGGTGCAGGTGAATAAATGAAAGGAAACGGTTGCCTTGGCGACATTTTCTTCCAGTTTTTAGGAAAGTCCCCCAGTATCTGTATATATTATACAGGAATTATATCATGAGAACAGTTTGCACAATGCTATACAAAATAAAGGGAAACAGTACGCTTAGGGTCCATTCATACCACGTGTTGGGGTTGCGCTGACCATTCTTTACAGTGCAGCCCCAACGCAAGACAAGGTAGTTTGCCTTGACACAGATGGACACCTTTCACACCACCGTGTTGTGGTGGGAACGTGGTGGTGTGCGCTTAAGAAAGTACTTTTTTTTTCAGTGCAGCGGGATGCGAAGAGGAACAACCTCCTCGCAACTTGCTGTTCCCATACAACTGAATGAAATGTCACTTGTGACATTTCAGCATAGTTCTAAAAAAAAAAAAAAGTATACAGTGCAATGTGCCAGGATTGGTACCATGTCCAGCATTGCACACCAGGCGCTGAACGTTTTGTGCAGCAGCTGGTGTAAATTAGCTCTTACAGTGCATTTCAGTACAAGAGGGTTAAGAGAATGTTTTGCTTTTCTAGTAGACCACCTTTAGGCCTCGTTCACACCTGAACGTTTTGTAGCGCGTTCTACGCTCGGCGAACGCTCTACAAAACATCTAAATCCCATTGTATTCAATGGGTCTGGTTCACACCTTGCTGTATTTCAGCCCGTCCCTAACGCGCTACAAAACGGCCCACGCCTGAAAAGGTACATGTACTACTTTGGGCCGTTTTTGTTGCGCGTTTCCATTGGGGTTTTTTTTACCGCGAATCGCGGTAAAAAAAACGCGCGACAGACGCGCATATGCAATACGCCTAGGTGTGAACCAGGCCTTAAGAAAAAAATAAATAAATGCACACTGCTTCATAAAAGAAAAAAATGTGCACATTTTTTTTTTTTTTTTGCATTGGAGCCAGTAAAGCATTGTAGCTGATCAGTGGAACGCAGGCGCAGTGTTCTCCCTTCCGTCCATGTCTGTATTGAGGTACAGGTCTGTATTTACTGCCTTGAAGAAGGTACCCTGTGCGGCCCCGAAACGTCGGCTCTGTTGATTGTAGTGACACAATTGTCCATTAAAAAAGGACATATTTATTCTAAACGAGTGCTGGTGACCTGTTTCTTTTACTTCGTATTTTGCACGGTGCCATCCGTGATAGTCATTGCGAGCACCACCGTTCTTATTTGGCCAGGACTGCTGTAAGGTGTGCGGAGAGGACCCCCACCACCTGAAAACTTGTATTGAGGTATAGACATTCAGTAACATGGATGGGAGGAAGAATGAATGGACTGCAGCTGCGGTGATGTAATTGCACTTGTATTTCATGGAGAACTACATGTCCTTTTGCTGCGGTGGTTGATGGAACTTGCAGTTTCTCCATTCACAAATCCTGCCTAAGGATCTGTGAATGGATGACGCTGCTGTGTGGGTTAAGTCACGCATGGCCATGTGAATTAAAAAAATCAACACCGGCGTGCAGGGAGAAGAATTCTGTTTCAGTGTGTTGGTGGGAGGTGGTGGGGGCTTGTGATGTGATTATGTTTAATGTTACACCCTGAATATGGGTGTAACATGAAACATGGCCCAAAAGGTAAACTTAGGGCAAGTCTGCATGGATAAATTCCACAACACACATCAACTGTTCACTTAACATGAAAAATATATCTGATGAGATCTAAAGCGACACAAAACCCTGAGCTTTTTTTCTCCTTATACACATCTTCACAATGAACATTTTCCAAAGCCACATACTTTAGAAAGTCTGCTGTGCTCGCTCCCGTGGCTATTCTCTCCTCTCACACTTCCTGTCCCTTAGTAAAAGCCGTGCATGTTGATTCTGGTCACGTGCACATCTTTCTTTGCCTACAACTCCCATAATGTCTCCTGACAAGCACCCCCCCCCCCCCCCCCCCCCCCCCCCCCCC